TAAACTAGGCGGGGGGGATCAGCAGGCACTGGCGAAGTCCCTGTTCCCCCGAGCACTGCCAGGAGTGACCAGGAATAACGGTCACAAGCTGGCAGAGGGTAGATTTAGGCTAGATATCAGGAGGCGCTACTTCACGGTCAGGGCGGCTAGGATCTGGAACCAACTTCCAAGAGAAGTGGTGCTGGCTCCTACCCTGAGGGTCTTTAAGAGGAGGTTAGATGAACACCTTGCTGGGGTCATTTGACTGCAGTACTCTTTCCTGCCATGGCAGGGGGTTGGTCTAGATGATCTACTCAGGTCCCTTCCGACCCTAGAAACTATGAAACTATGAAATGAGGAGCATTTGAATTTGCATGCCAAAAACTCTTACAATTTCTTCCAAATTACAAGCCTCTTAGTGTCAGTTACATTTGTAAGACTTCCGCGATCATGGGACAATAAGCAAATTAGAACTAGAGAAAGAAGCCCCTTTATTATTCTGGATCCAGTCATGACCCCAAAACCAGTAAGGGCAAATTCAAGATTTGGGGTTTAGGCTGCCCCTGGAATTCCAGCTTAGGGTGTCAGGCCTGGTTCCTGGCCAAATTTTACTCTAGCCACAATGTTTTCCCTTGGACAATTGATTCCTTAATTATGGGTTGGATGCTGTGCTACCAGTGCAAACAATTGTTACTTTGTGGAAGCATTTCATTTTGAATGTGAGCAACCTAGTTCCTGCAAGCCAAATTCTGCAATCCTTTATTGGGTGGGGTCCATAGCTGAGGTAAGTTTCGTTGTGTTATTATTAAATATTGCCAAATCTGGCTGTTTCTGTATAGTTTGTTTCAAAATAAATAACAATCTATTAGACTTAACAATGCTACGGATATGCAAGGCCCATATGACTTACTCAATAGTACCTACAGTTTAGTTGTAGAAATGGAAATATCCAAATGTTTTCACTTACATAAGAACCACAGTTGTCTAAGCTAATATATGAGCTTATTGCTGTTTAAGGTGTGACACACACTTTTATAAGTTGTCCATGCCAGCAGAACTTAAGGATATACTACAGATGTTAAGAAGCCTTTTCTGTCACTTCGGGGTAGCTCACATTTAAAAGCAAGTAGCAGCTTGCTTCCATTTGTTTCCAAAATAACATGGTATGAATAATCAGTTTCAATTGCTGCAGATAATTATAAGGTGCACTCATTGGGAACATAGAGAAAGGGAGTCTATGAGCTGCATTTGAACTCTGTACTTAAGCAATAAAAAATTTATCAAACTGCAAAAAAAATAAGTCATTTTAACGAGCACATTCCAAAGGTGCTGGATTTATGAGGAGACCCCAGGAAACTTTGATTGAAATTGTTGTCTCTGATTGTAGTTCTATATTTTATTGGTGCCATATTGTGAACAGTGCTGCTGCCAAAGTGAATGGGAAAGAAGCATAACAGAGTTAACCCACAAAGGGTATTTTTTTATAATATCCATGATGTATTGCATTAAAAATGCCTTGAAAGCCATCCCATTTGCAGTTTTCAGAAAGCATTTTTTCTTAAATTAAGTTACGATTTATCTGAACAGGTCAGAAAATGGGAAAGCCCCTGAAAGACTTTAGTATTGATTTTTCTCATAGTATTTGCTAGTTCTTGTTTTCTCATTTGAGTACTCCTTGATAGAAGAGCCTAGAGCAGTGTGCTGATCTTGAGCCAAAGCGTCAGCAAAATGGAAAAAACAGCAGTTAGGGACAGAGATGTGAATGCTGATTTTACCATGAGTGTTTTGCTTGAGTAGCTTCAGGTTTAGTTTCTGGGATTTTTCGTTTTTGCTTTTTGGTTCCAGAATTTAAGCCGAATTTAAATCACCTGGAAAATGATTGGGACTTTATTAACTATTAAGGCCTTCCCTCAACTAAATAAACACTGTGATAGCCATATGTGATGAATGACTTGAATATTTTGAAAGTATGAGGTCAATGCTACTCTTTATGTGTGCGTAGAATAATGAAAGTTATAAATCTTTTTTTGAGTAATTTTTGTTTTAAAATAATTAAGCATTTAAGTTTACAAAAATCATTACAGCAAAGCACATCTTGAATGACAATCAAACTGATATATTCAGCCAATTAATAATTTTAAAATAATAATTAGGTATGCCACATACAGTTGTTGATTATTACTAACCACTGAGGGCAATTCAGTGCCAATTTTTCATTAAAGCTTCATCTTTCCCCAGACAAAATGCTGTTACATTAGCCATAAAACTATTATAGCATAGCTTCCAAGTACTATATTATAAATGCCAACTGTATCTTTGACTGTATACTGTATTGCTCTAAGCTTCTGAAAATAACTGTAGTTAGGGATTAAGCTCTAAATATGTTTCCATTGTAATGGATTATTGTGATTTTTTTTTTTTTGTATCTTAACAGTCATGTTGTTTAATGATAAAAACATACAGTGACAATTGTCCTGAAGCTTCATTGACTGTTGCATATGCTGTCTATCATGTTTCAGTAGTCTGATAATTTGAGAAGAGGATGGGAAAAAGGGTCCAAAGGTTCTTTCCTCAGTGCTCTGAACTATTGTGTGTCCGTGTGTAGATCATCCAGCCTTGCTGTGCCTCAGTTTGTGCTGTGGTAAAGGTAGAATAATAATGATTAGAAAAATGTAATTGCTTGTAAAGTGCTTTGAAACACTTGGCCCAAACTGGTAATAGAAATTCTTTCCCCTTCTAAGTGTTATGTAACCATTTCTATATTATGTTAACATGAATACTTATATGGGTTTAATTATCTGTATATGAATTAGAAGTGGGCCAGAATATTATTTCAGTATTCCAGCTTATGAAGAAAAACTTGTCCTGATTCTTTGTTCCCCAGTTCACTGAATAAACATTTGTGCTAGTTCAACACTTGGTGCAAAATCCTACCATTCTGATATAGTAGCATTTTACACCCACATTGATTACAGTAGAAAGAGTACAATGACTGCCCCCAAGGTTTTGGTCAAAGGAGAATTGGACCCGGTACCTAACTTAATTGGGCTTGTACTCTTAAAACCAACTTTGTGTTGTATGCCTTTAATCCTGTCTTTTTTTTTGTTTTGTTCCATCTCCCCACTCCCCATTTTCATCTTTTTAGATCCTGTGATTAACAGAAATCAACAAGAGGATTTGAGAGGGCGAGACCCAGCTGTTTGGCATGTGGGGCTGAAGGTTGCATGGGACATAAAAACACCTGGATTAGCATTACCCCTTCACCCAGGAGACTGCTACTTTATGCTGGGTAATTTTCAAAGACTAGCAAGACAAATGTATGTTGAAAATAGAGTGCTAGGCTCTCAATTGGTATAAATCATCTTGCCTCTGTTGGCGTCAGTAGGATTGTTCTGATTTTTAACAGCTGAGGATTTTGGTCAAAATGTGTCATTTTAATTATATTGTCTATGTATTTTGAATCACCCTATCTCCTTTTTTCCTTTGGTGTTTCTCATTCTCTCTGCTTTGTATTCCTCTTTGTGGTACACAATTCTTTATCTTGCACAGCCTGTTGAGCCTTTCCTTAGATAGTGCACAAAATACCAGTTTAGGCTAGGTTTCAACACAGATGGGATTGAAGGTTTTTTCCTTTTTTAGCACTCTCTTCCTCTTTTCTGTACATAGTTGTCCTGGGAAACAATAACTACATACTAGGGGTGTGTGAAATGGGCTGTATTAGATTCAGATTTGGATTTGGCCTGAATTGGGGGAAGTAATTCGATTCGTTGATTTGGATCACTGTCCCCGATTCGATTCGGCCGAATCCAAAGATTCAATGCTGATTTGGAGAATCAGTGATTCGGCCATAGACACAGTTTTAAATGTTTTTTCTACATACATCAAGGTATCAGGCACGGCTTGTAAACACTATGATGGTGGGGTGGATGGAGCATCCCACAGGCGCACGGGGGCTCCCCAGTTTCTGGTCCACTTCTGGGTCTTCTGCCGAGCGTGCTGGGGAGCCCCCTGTGCTTCTGTGAGATGCTCCATCTGCCCCAGCATTGCAGCATTCACGAGCCGCCTGGTACCTTGAGGTATATAGAAAAAATATTTAAAGCTGTGTCTATGTCTAAATCGCCAAATCTTTCTGAATCTCTCCAAATCGATTCGGAGGGTTCCGATTCGATTTGGAGAGATTAAAGGGTCTCCTGATTCAATTTGGATTTGGAGATTTAACCACCAAATTGGGGCAAATCTCCACCAAATCAAATCAGGGACCGAAGCTTCTCACAGTCCTACTACATACCTGTCTTATTACAAAATCTTTCCAGCTCTGAAGTCTAGGGAGCAGAATGACTTATACCTGTGTACTAGCAAAGAATCTTCCTTCTCTCTCTCCCTCCCTCCCTCTCTTTTTAAGTTCCAGACACCTTGATGTGTCATGATGTTTCCTTATACTGCCTTGGGCTTGCATGAGTGTATGTATTGGTGTTGGTCATGCTGTTAATACTTTGGCCAGTATATATTCAAGTATATCATTTTCCAGTATTGTGTATTTACTAAAGGTATACATAACTGAGTGGAGAATCTTGAGCTGTGATTGTTAAATAAGGAGCCCCAATGCCTACAATGGGGATTCTCATCCCAGGTGCTGTGACACCTTGGTTTACCATGAAATCCTTTTAAGGGTGCTGCGGAGTGCCATGCAATACTAGCACTGTTAGGTCTGTTAAAATGTATGTACAATTCACAAGATAAACTCAGAGATTTCAGATAGGGATCTGTGGTGTCTTTAGTGGGCGTGGTGAGTACTGTCTTGTCCCCCTTTACCTGAGCCCCCCCTCAACTCCCCTGCCACAACTTGCTGTTACTGGGTGAAAGAAGGGGTTCAGTGGCATTCTTCTCGGGTGACCTGGTGACAGAGGTACTCATGTTCGTGCCACAATGTTCCTTGGAGCTATGCCTTCCCTACACCCCATCCACTCACCAACCGCTTCAGTGTTGCTTCTGTTGTTCCACCGTCCCTGTTAACCCCTTTACTAAGGGGTCAGGCATCAGCTTTGGCACTGGTTGGTTGCCTGGATGTTAGGGCAACTGGAGCCCCCAGACCCTAGTGCCAGAGGGCTGGGCTCTCATGGTCTTGTGTCTTTCTCTCTCTCTCATGTAGAGAGATGCTCCTATGGAATCTGAAATTCAGGCAGCTGGGGATCGGTCTTCCCTAGCCTAATGCCGGGATGCTGCTCCCTCTGCCCTAAGTGCAGGTGCAGCATCTGCAGCTACGATCCTGCCAGCCTCAGGAGTCATTGCCTGCCTGGTGTGCTCCCGGCTGGCTTTCTCTCCCTCTCTTCCCCCTGCCATCTTCTGGTGGGGTTTTTAAGTTTCTGGCAGCAGTGTACCCAGCTGCCACAATCAACCTGGCGCTCCCTTGCCTCAGGAGTAGCTGATTAAAGAGCCAGCGTAATGCCAGCTCACGCAGCCGCGGCTCCAGTTCCGGCTTCGGACGTGCTCTAAAAGATAAGTTTTCTGGGGTGTGGGGGGCCTGTTTGTTCCCCAGGGGGACTCACAGGGTTTCCCCCAGCCCCCTTGGCACCTGTGGGGGCTTCTCGCCACCACAGAATCCAGTGTCTCCTGTTTCAGATAGGGTCTAGAATCCAAAAGCATTCCAACCTGCCGTGGTCTTTCTGAAGAAAAAAGAAAAAAAAAGAATTACTCTATTATTTTTCTGTTGTCAAAAAATGAGTGAAAACTAAGAGCTGGCATTTTCTGAGGGGTGCCTGGAGTCTAAAAATGTTGAGAACCAGTGTCCTATCATGTGAAAAGTAAAAAAAATAAGAAATAAAATTGGGCTTCTGGGTTTTTTTTTTTTGTAGCTACACTGCTATAGCTTTGATAAGGGGTATGCTGGCAGAGTGCTTAAGCTTTTACTGCAGGTCCTGAGGTGTGAGCTCAAGGTCCTTGTAGAATCATATTGAAGGCTGCCTCCAAATGACCCAGCTGTAAATAGGTAACTGGATATTTGGGCTAGGTAATAAAAAGCAGCTAGCTATGATGGTAGACACATATTATTTCTTTGTCTTCCATTGGCTACAGAAACAGTAGCCAATTATGCTGGTCCAATGGGCCACTTAGTTTTGGGCAGACCTTTGATACTTGTTGTCCCATCCCCATTCTTTCCCCCCTCCTCCATTTTTTTTAATTCCTGTTTTGGTAACATAGCAAGGGTATAAAGTCTGGGAATGTAAATGAGATTTAGAGGAACAAGACCGAGATCTTTATTCTTGCCGTCCTTTATTTAAATCCCATTCCATATGAATTGTAATGGTATCCCACCAGGAACATCTCATCTATGACACTACAGTGATTGCCTGTACTAGTGGCTCCAAAAGGTGCTCTAATTTAAGCACTACCACAACTCGTGTATCGGCATCTCTGCACTTCAAATGATGCTTGAGTTAAAGCTCTTTCGATAAGCTTTAATTGAAGCACCCCTCTTCCTTTACATTGTTTCCCACTCTGTTATATAGTAAAGCTAAACCTTTAAAAAAAAAAAAAGGAAGAAAATTGTTCACACTACCCACAGACATCTTGTATTAAGTTGTGTCCTTAGCTTCTCTGGACAGCCCTGTCTCTTGTGGTTAACTCAGTAGTGCATATGTAGTAGAAAGTAGTGTCTGAGTTCTTCAAATACTTTCAAAGTTGAGCAGCTCTCAGATCACATCAAGGACTTCTTTAAAAACCTTTAGTATTGTGCTAGAAAAGATATGCCTCGCTTATCTTGCATTTGTTAGAAGAAATAGACTAACAGCCAGAGACATTTCTTAAATCAAAGTGAAAGATATGTGGCAGCTGAAAGTGCCTACAGATCCATCTTTGTGCTATTGTTCTAACATCAGATAGGTATGATCATCTAATTCTTGTTGACTGTAAAAATTGTGTCTAATCAGCCTTGTTGGCAAGCATACTTAGAAGACAAATTGTGGAATGAAATGTTTATCTTCAGTGTTTTTTGTACAGAGCTCATTCTAGTACTGTAAATTATAGTTGACTAATTTTTCAAATGGTAAAGCCATTCCTTATTCCCCTGATAGGAGTTAACTTTATGCTGTAGCTCAGGCACTGTTTGGAAATGTTGTATAAAGGACAGGTCACAATGTTATTTTATTTAACACCTAAGAACATCTTGATCATGTTGAGGTGAAGAAACTGGGCCTATTAACATTTTTTCCAGTTAAATCATTCTTTCCAACCAATATTTCAGAGCAACTACTGTTTGGACATCTGTGGAATGGATGTTAGGTACTCTCCTTTAGATTTCTCTATCATTTACAGTTACCTTTTTGCATTTTTAAGAGAAACATATGTTTGATTATTTTTTTTTAAACAGAAAAATTATTACAGAAATGTCTAACCCCCTGGTACGTTTCTAATAAATCATGGCTAATTTATTAGTTTTTATTAGTTGAAATAGATTTCTTAAAGGCACTTATATCATCCTTAACACATTTTTATCTTTTCATGGTTTTTCGTTTGCAAGTTGCTATTTTAAGAGAAAGTACATGTTGGGAGCTGGTATCTGAGAGAATAATCCAAAATATTTGGAGTTTTAAATTATATAAATATAAGAAGTAAAGTGGTAGCAAGAACCAAGTTTTAGTTAATTTATCCTGGGATTCTGCATATAGTGCACATTCCAGTATCATATCTTCTCAGTAAGCTATGGGCTCCTACACATGCAGGGAGCCTGCTTTGATGTGCTGGAAATCCAGCGCATTGAGGCAGACTCACTTAATTGAGTCTGCTGGAGCACGGAAACTGACGCGCTCCAGCAACCTTGTGCATCACATGTATCAGCGTCATGGTGCATCTCCACTCTGACAAAATGGTTGTGGGGCACTTTGAAATAAAACACATTCAATGAGCCTTAGTTCAAAGCACTGTACTGCCACTTTTTCAGTGTGGGGCTGCTGATACGTGTGATACACAGGTGCTTTTAATTAGCACAGCACGCTAGTTAAAGTGCCTGGCGCCGTGTCCAAGAGCATGTGTAAAAATGCTTTTACTATGATTACAAAAAATGGTGAAAAAGCTGAAAGGATTTGTTGTTTACTTTATGGTTCACCATTCTGACATCACCCAATGGCAAAGTGTAGGACTGACAGACAGAATTTGAAGGTAGTTCTCCCAATTGTGTTGGACTTGTGTAACCTTGGCAAGTCACTATGTCTGTTTTCCCATTTGGAAAATGGTACAATACGTAACTATTTTACATAAGCTTTTTTAGGCCTTTTGGTGAAAGATACCATATTC